AGAAACAATTCTAAAATTTTTTTTTATTATTTCTTCCATTTACAAAGTTTTACACCAATTACAAAGTTTTGCAATTAGTTTATTGCAATGTTATAAAAGGCATAATAAAATAATAAATAGTAAATTTAATAAACCTTGTTTTGTTTAAAAACTTAATATTTTTAATAATAAATAACATTTTATCAGGCTTGGTCGGGAAGTGGGTGCGATTGTACTCTATTCTTGACCACGCAAATTATATTTAGTTAGAACAACTTGACCACGGCTTTTTAGATGTTTGAGGGCGTTTAGATTTATATATGTTTCCATGTATGCCTATAAACTTTTTGACACGCTCAAACAATTAAATTTGTAAATAATCTTTTCAGGCCTTGTTTTAAATAAAAAAGTGCTTAATGCATTAGCTTAACGCGATTTTGACGTCATAAAATTATCTTTATTTTTTTTTATAGATGTCAAGTGTTTTAACTACCGCAATAAATAACCGCAAACTAGTTCCATTTAACAATTAACTCAAATAACTATAAACGTTTTAAATATAAATTTATTATAAAAATTTTGTAATGTTTTTAATTGTTATTTTATTATTAATTTTAGTTCAATATCATTTGTAAAAAAAGTATATATATAGATATTTTTTAATTGTTTCTGAAATTTGTTTTTGAATAACTATTGTTTTTAATCGTTATTGAATAAAAAATATTTATGATTTTTTTTATTTTTCAAAATTTCTAGAGTAAACAAAAAATAATAACATTGATAAACACAAACCCATGTTAATTATTTAAACAACGATTTTGTTATGACTAGCAAAGAAAAATTTAGGTTTTTAAATATTTTTTAAATTTACTTTGCTTAACGTTTCAACTTGCGTTTTATAAAAATATAAAAATTTTTTATCTGCTTTGAGCATATTTTTGATACATAATTTAGAACGCGTTCGCCAGGAATTTAATTCATAAATTTTTTACGTTATTGTAAAAATATTTTACTTTTTAAACAAATCACAAAGAAACAGAGCTATAGAGAAAAATTGTTTTTAACGATTAAATCTTTTTTTTTTAAATTTTAGAAAATTAAAAAAAAAAAAGATTAAGTTAAATATAAAAGTCTTAGTTAAGCAAACTCGTTTGTTAATTATTCTTAAAACAAAAAAAAAAAATACTTCTACGCAGAACTTTAATCGTGCAAACTTAAAAAAATACTCAACTAAAATAATTTAAGTATATTTAATAATTTGAATCGTATCTGTTTATAATAAACGTTCGTAAAAATTTGTTTCTTAAAAATCAAGTTCCTTAACTTATAAACAAACTCAAAAGTATTTTCATTCTACGTATAATTACAAAACTCTTTTTTTCGTTTGTAAGCAATTTAACTTAATAAAATAAAAAAAGAATAAACATGAGGTAATCTTTGTTAAGAACAAATTTAATTTATATATTGAACTATATTTTTATTTTTAATTATATATCAACTTAATTAAAATATAGTAACATGTTAAAATTTTAACATGACTTGTATTATTTATAAACCGTTGGGCAGCTGCCCTTATGGCACCATTGTTTTTGGATAATATTTTATTTTGATGAAGATCACATAACTTACATTTGATTTTAATAACGTAAGTCTTCTCTTTTTCTGTGATCATCGCATCGGCGAAGCATCGGCAAAGTCTTAAGATTTAATAGTTTTAAAGTAAATTTTTTGTCCTTCAAAATACAATCTATATTCGAACTTTAAACAATTTAGAGAGAATAGAAATATACAAGGTTTTTATACACTAGTTTGTTTTGTTTTATAAAGAAAAATACGTATTCATTAGTAAAAAATGGAGACTGTTATTAAACTAAAGCGTGCCTTATTATTTATTTAATGGAATCTGTAATGTGCGCGTGCATAATGAAACCTCTGTTATATAAATATATTCAACGTAATATTAGTGTCATCAGTGGATGTTGTAGTCTACTCGTGATTTCTTTACCTTATAATATAATTTGATTTATGAAAAAAACTCATTGAATCGCACGCAGAAGAAATTTAACAAATTGTCTTCATTCAAAAATTGCGAGTAAAAGGTAATTTTTTTTACTGTGCCGACCCCCTCCCCCCGCATAACTTAAAGGTAAAGGTATCTTTTATATATATACTTTTTATATATATACTTATATACCTTTAACTAATAAGAAAAGCAAAGAGTAATAATTAATAAAGTAATTTTTAGAAAAATACAAATAGATTGTTCATTCATTGGCACATTTTTTTTAATATCTCGAAAAAATGTCTTGATATTTTTGTTATCATGATAACAAAAATATTAAGACATTTTTTGAGATATTAAAAAAAATGTCAATCCTTAATTACAAATTTTTTTGCAAATATTTTTTATTATAAATTCAGTAAAAAATTCTTAAAAAATTTATATTACAAAAAACATTTATATTCTATATTAATAAATATGGAATATAGATTTTTTTAAAGTTTTTTACTAAAAATTTTAAAAAATTACTACTTTTTATTAAAAACATTGCAAAAAATTTGTAGTTAAGGATTGACAAACAATTTTTCATGTTGCTAAATATTCGGATAAAAAGTTTAGCGTCAAATTAATTGCTTTAAAAAGGAAAGATATATTGTGATGAAAAGTTACAACAATTGTTTTTAAAGAAATTCTTTTTTTTAATAAATGTCTTTACATATCATTATTTCAAAGTTAATGTGGTTTTTTTAAAAAATTATTTACTTCTTTTATGTTACCGCTAATTTAATAGTTAAAAAATGATAAAAAGTATCTTAACCAAAACAGCTCTACACATATGTAAAAATCGCTTAAGGCGTACGAAAATTGCTCTAGGCGTAACGCTTTAAAACAAGGCCTGCTTTTGTAATCAAATATTTTAACATAAGCAAAGCATTTTTAAATTAACATAAAGTTAAATAAGTTTTATTTATTATTTTTTTTAATAGATTGATTTTTATTCTTTAATGTAAGTCTTTTTAAAATGTTTGCACAATCAATTTTATAAAAATAAAACTTTCAACAACAACAACTGCGTTTTCAATAAAATTTAAAAAAATAATAATCAACAAAGTTAATAAAGTTAATAATCAAATAAACAAACGGGAACTTTCAGGCGACTGAACATCAATATGCAAATATACCTATTGAATTACAAGTAGATAAACACCGCGCAGAGGGTCGAACAAAACATAAAAATAAGATTATATAAAGTGACTTACAGGTGAACCAGCACTGCGCCAGCACTACAGAGCAAAAACATACAAATATATTAAAAAATTTACTCACTAATTAGTCAGTGGTGTTGTGAAGCAGTTCCGCTTCCTCTTCATAAATATATTTTACCTTTTTAGTTTAACCACTAAAGTTTGCTTTCTAATAATTTGATGAAATAAAAACGTGCTTCTAGTTTGTAAAAAATGATATTAAATCATAATTTACTTCGAATGTAATATTCCTTTTTTTATATTAATTTATAAATGTATATTTTAAAGTAAAATAAACCGATGAACTTAAGTACAATATAAAGTTATTAAATGTATACAAAGTGTACTGTTTAGAAACTGACCATAATAGACCACTATTTCAGGATTCTGGCACATTTCAGAATTTTTTTAAACACCATAAAGACTCTGCTAAATAATAAGTTCAATATAATATTTTTATAGTACCGCAACGATTTAATTATTTCTTTTCTTTATCTTACTTATAAAGAATTGTTTTAAATGTTTTAAACTTATATTATATATTGCAAACTACACAAAGCATAAAATGGTTATAAAAATATATTTACTTTTTTATTTATTATCTAATTCAACTACCATTAATCTTATTAGAATTGTTAAAATAAAACATAAATATTTTAATAAAGAATTATTCTATACGCTTTGATAAATTGAAGAACGTTTGTTTTTTACTAAACGATCATTATTAGTAAGTTGTTACATTTTATAAGTGTTGCTTAATTTTAATAAAATATTATGAAAGAGAGAAGTTTAAAAATAATTTATTCTAAATGTAATTTATTTAGTTTTAGTTGAGTTTTTTTTTTTTTGTTAAGAATTCATTTCTTATTTTAATTTTTTAATTTGTTAATTTATTAATTTATGTTAATTTTTTGTCTCCCATTGAGTTAAGTTTTTTTTTTTTTTCGCTTTTTGAAATGTTCTTAAAACATCTAAAAAGCTGTGGTCATTTTGTCGTAACTAAATATTATATGCGTGGTCAGATATAGGCTGTGATTCACGTGCTTCCCAACCAAGCCTGTTTTATTGTCAAGCTTGACTAAGTAATATATAGTCAAAAAAAATTAAACTATATTTCTCATAGTAGTGTAAATTAATGAAAAAATGAATTAGTTTCTTAATATACTGACTATATTTTTATTTTTATAAGTTGTCTAAAAAATTACTTAAAGAGTGGACAAACAAGATGTGCAACTGCATGCGCTTCTCGGAAGGCTTTTATCTCCAACACATAACACAGAAACTCAAGATAATTCTCAAAGAATAAAAAAACAGAGCTATACATTATAACAATGATTTATACACAGCTGTGTGTAACTGTCATCAATTTTTTACCTTAAATTTGTTATTAATGCCAAATGACGAACTGAAGGTACTGTGGTATGGCATTACCAATTGCTATGCCTATCGTTAATGAAAACCTGTGCAGTTTTTTGTATTATTATTGTTATAGTTATTCTAAATAAAGCTTGATTTGTTTTTTGTTTACAACCACTAAAAGTAAAAATTTTTAATAAAATAAAAGTTTCCAACGTATATATTATGTTGTTTAGAAATATGATTGCTTATTATTATATTATTTAAATTTTTTTAATGTTTTAGGGTAGTCTTTATAGAATAAGTTGACTAAATTCATTTTAATATCAATGTCAATTGAAATATAATAAATGTTATTAGTTGTGAAATTTTTTTAATATTCAATGATTATATATTATAAAATTTTATACTATATTTAGAATTGACGCGCCAATTTGCAGAACAACAAAGATCCTTAGATATTCGAACAGAAAATAAAATTTTTCTAGTAAATGATTTGCAAGAGTTTTTTAGACGTCGGTCTGAGCTTGACCTAGAATATGGTAAGAGTCTTGAACGTTTATGTGATCGATTTTCTGAAAGATTTACTAAGCAGAGAGCAAACTATGGATTCAACAAGTAAGTTTAAAAGTTTGTTTTTGTTTGAATTTTAGTAATTATTAAAGATATTTTATATGAAACTTTTTATTAGATTTACATAATAACAGTCATAACAAATAATGATTATATACCACTTATGTGGAATGATGTCATGTAACAGGTAGTTTTTACAGAGTCAAGACATACACATTGACCTTGTGGACATTAACTAAATACCAGACAAAAAACAGTAAACATTAATTATTTATGGAGGAGAAATTTTTTCACTGTTATTACTCAACCATCATATAAAATCGCTTTCAATGACTTAATAGCTTGTGTTAACCCACCTTAACTTCCTGATACCTGACCATTGAAGCTAAATGAAATTGGATCTTGCTAGCAAAAAAAACAACAACAACAAAGTTTGTATAATAAAAGCTACTTAAAAAAATAAAGTAAAAAATATATTATAAAAATATTTAAAGAGTCAGAAATTTAAATTTTAAATTTATTTTATAATCTTTTATAGAAAAGACAGAGCCTCTTATGTTAACTTATGGAGTAAATTACTTATTGATGCAAGATTCAAAGCAAAGACAGCAACTAATCTTAGTGAAATATATACAAAAAATCTAGTGATGAGATTGACTGAGATTGCAGAAGATGTGCAGCGTATTTCTAAAATTGTAAAAAATTATTTTCAATGTTCATTTTTTTTAATTAATTTTAGCTTATTTTTTAAAAATATAAAAAAATCAACTACTAATAGTTTATTTTAACAAAATTTACTATAATCACTATTTATATCCATTATTTTAATTTTATCAATTTTCTCATAAATTTTAGTAAAAAATAACAAGCAGCATATATCAAGCCTTCCAAGGAAAGGTGTACGATTTTTCGTCTCGTACGTCCACGAAAACGTTTTTTAATTGAGACAACTTGATTATGGCCGTTAGCGCAAGTTTTATATGCATTGCTGAAAAAAGTTTTAAATTTAATAACTACATAAGAAATTAAAGTAAACTTAAATAGAAAACAATAATAATAGTTTAAATAATTTGTGTTTTTAATTTTTGTTTTTTCTTAGTGGTTATTATTATTGGCAACAAATTTCAGTAAGTCGAAGCAAAAAAAAACAAAAAAAACAAACACGGTTTTAAGAAGGGTTGGCATTAAAAAACCCGCCCAATAAAACCCAAAAAAACCCGCCTAAAAAAACCCAATAAAACCCTGGAAAATCTCGGTTTTATTGGGTTTTTTTAAAGATATTTAATAAGTTTATGAACTATTATAACCAACTTTAACATTATAACTATAATATTATTAACTAAAATAATTACTAACTATTATTATTAACTAAATTATTATTAACTATTATTATTAACTATTATAACCAATAATAACAGCTATCAGAGCAGGTTTACTATTATTTGAATCATTATTTGGAAACACATCATTACAATTTTTATTGAAATATTTTTATTGATTGAGATTTTTATTACTTTCTGTTATTCACCTCCGAAATTGAATTTAAATGAGTAGTGACCAGAGAAGCCAACACAACAGTTGAGGAGGCTACCTTGTTGTGGTTACAATACTCTCTTAACTCTTTAACTCCTAAACACGAATCTAAACAAGGCCGCTGTGCAGAGGAACAAGTTTGTTCATTTGAATTTCAAGTTCAAAGTTTAATTAAAACTTCAGTTACTACCTCCCATTCTCTAGTCTTCTTTTTCCCAATATCTCATTGACATTTTTAATTGTATAGAATAATACTTTTAAATTTAAAATAAATCAATACATAGATTAAGCGTGAAATTTTTTTTTTCTATTACAGTTTTAAATTATATTTAAAAATCTTTTTCAAAATAATATGAAAAATTCTTGTTATAAATAATTAAATAACAATATATAAAATATATTTTAAATAAGGTTAAAGTAGAAAATGAAACTAATTTTCAATATCATTAAACAAAAACACACAAAAATTTTTTACAGGGACAAAATAAAAATTAAACCCAAAAAAACCCAAATTTACCCAATAAAACCCAATAAAACCCAAAAAAACCCACTGGGCTGGGTTTTTGCCAACCCTGGTTTTAAGCATTAAAAAGGATGACTTTCCCATATATTATGTGTTTTTTTAAAGAGGAAAGAGAAAATATGTATTGTCACCTGTTTGTTAAATATATTTGTATACTTATATTGTAACAAGTTTATATCAAGGTTTAAATTATACGATTGCAATTTGCAAACTCTGGTAAAATATTAGGTCTTTAAAATTTTAGTTCATGCAAAGCTGTATTCTTTGTTTATAAGGGGCAAATTATCAAAAGTTTGCTAGCGAGAAAGTTACAAAAAACAAAACAAAAACAATAAACTTAAGACTACAAAAGTAATAACACTTTAATCACTAACTGCATTATAAAAGTAATAAAACTATAATAGTATTATTACATTTATAAAGCCCTAATTACTTTTAAAGTTCATTCTTTGTTCAAACAACATTATTATTTTCAAACATTTTTTAAAGTAGAAAAGTATCTAGAAAAAATAAAGCGGATATTCAAATATTAACAAAAATTTCAGGAACCTTCACAGATCACTTAAACAACGCTATAAAAAAGTACTTTATAAAAAGTATAGCAAATAATGACTAGAGTTCATATAAACTTTAACACTTAGGAGCTTATTAAATTTCTAGTTTGATCAATAAAAATAAAAAGGTTGGTATTAAGTTTTATGTAAAAAAAAAAAAAGATGACTCTTATTAATTCTATTATCTAGTCCAATATTAAAGATAAACTTTTATCTACTTGAAAATAAGTCTACTGTTCAAAATGTTGTCAACATTTTTTACAAAACAGAATCAAAAACTTTTAACATTCAATTAATGCAGTACATGTGTGAGTTGATTAAGAAAATATGATAGATTTGATAAAATAAAGTTGTTTCATACTAAAATCTTACATAAGATGAACAGATGAATTTTTTTCTGGGTTTTATCTAACTTCATTCATGCGTTTCTTTGACAGAATTAAAAGTTATATTACTAAAATTCACTGATGATTATATTTGGAGGACCATCTCCTAATTGTACTTATAAAGTTAAAACTGTCTATTGAATAAAAAATAAGGCTTTTTGATTTGGACTTTTTTGATTTACAATAGTAATAAAATTTTTGAAAAAATTGTATTATTTTTGTTATAGTTAATAAATTGTAATTCTTTTTGTTAGAGTTGTCAATCTGATTGTATAGCCAGATCAAGGAGCAACATATCGTTATACTTTAAAAAAACTTTAAAGACTGTGTTTGTATTATGGATTGTACTCAATTTTTTTATTGAAAGGCGTTACCTTAACAAAAAAAAATTTACCTTCTTAATCATTACCATTGAATATCTGTTTGGACTACACCTGCTGAAGAAAACAATTTTTTTATCTCTTGTCTAGGGCGGCCATGGAACAGACACACAAGTTACTATTTATCTCCTCTATCAGAAACTTGAACCTGGTGACTGTGTACTTTCTGAAAGAGGATTCTATATTAAAGTTGAACTAAATGCTGCTAGGGCAATATTAAAAAACTTTAACAAAAGACAGATGTATAGATTAATTTACCAAACACATGACAATAGCAATATTTTTCTAGAACAAATAAGCTAATCAATAAAAGTAGCCAAAAACAATTTATTATCTTTAGGCTGTTCAGTAATGTTAGTCTATAGAGATTTTAATTTCAGCCATACAACCTACAATAAACTTGACATTGGTGGCGGAAGAGCTATCGCAGCCCAGGAGGAATGACAAATTGACTTGAAATTTCACAAATGTTCAACTGAAATTTATCTCACTGAAGTGGTGACCTTCCCAAAGTATCGTAACTCCAGAAACGAGGATCCAAAGAGCACACTTGACTTTATTATCACGGATGATCCAGACAGTATTAAGAAACTAGAAAAGAGTGACTTAAACTGATTAGCATGATTTAAACTGATTAGCAATTTACATGAGCTCAAAAGACATAACCAAGAGAACCAAATGACAAAAGAGTCAATAAGATCTCTAGAAGATAATGAAGGTAAAATTATAAATGAAGAAATTGCCTACATAATAAATATATGATTTCAATCAGTATTTATCAAAGATACAGGCGAACAAATGCCAAAATTCAAAAATCAATTATAAGTATTTAATGCGGTAGTGGTGTAGTGGTAGAGCGCTCGCTTCATAAACGAGTGGTTCCGAGTTCGATCCCCACCACGTCCCTGGTAGTACCGTGCTCAACTCGTTTCTCCGCGCAGCGGCCTTGCTCGTCAAGGTTCGTGTTTCGGAGTTATAGAGTTGAGAGAGGGTTATAACCACAAATAAGTAGCCTCCTTGTCTGTAGTGGCCTTCTCGGCCTTGAGGAGGTGAATTAAAATAAAAAAAAAAAAAAAAAAAGTCGAATGCCAAATTAATGAATACAAATCGACTCAAGATTACACAATGCTCAATATATTAGGAAACAGAAAAATGCTTGAATGCACCAAAAATGAACGTGATCTGGTAATATTTGTTTCTTATAATTTCAAAGTGAAATCTCAGGTAGAATGCAGCAGAAAGAGACAATTTTGTGTTAGGCTCTCTCTAAAAAGTTTTTAGAGGCTGAGACTTTTCCTTGTGAAAAGTCTTGTACACCATATACATCAGACCACATCTTGAGTTTCAACCCATCTATAATCTTTCCACATCTACAATGAGATATATGTATGCTAGAATGTATTCAACAATGAGCAACAAAAACAATCACAGAAATTGAGCATGTCATAAGAGGAGAGGTTCCGTATCTCTTGAAGAAAAAAAGAATCGAGGTGATTTGATTCAGCAATTTAAAATCATTTACAGTATCAAAAAATATAAAAATTCATTCATTGATAGAAAAAACAAACAATCATTGATAGAAAATAAATAATTGATAAAAAAAAAACAAAAACAAATAATAGACACAGCATGCGTCTTTAAGCTGTCAGCATAGTATTGCCTGGTGTCACACTACTTAAAATTTTATACATTTTTTGTTGTATTAAATATTTAGTATAAATTTCTAATTTCTGAATAAATAAATTCAAATTCGTTTTAGTCTATGATGGAGAGACTTATGTTCTAGGTAGTAATTATATAATCAGTTCTTTGGAATTCGCTCCCTTCATTTTCTTTTCCTGATTCATATAATTTTCAATCTTTTAAATCATCTGTTAATCATTATCTTGCTTTATAAACTTCTTTTTTCTTCCATTAAAATCCAACTCTAAGAGTGGTTGCTTGCAACCTTGTTGGAAGTAAAGATATTAATGAAAAAAAAAAAGAGATGTAACCTTAGCAGATGCTAGTTTTGCTGAAGAAAATTGAGTTTTATCTAAGTTAAAGTTCACCAGCCACTGAGAGCCCCATGTTGTAGCAGAAGTGAGATCATTTTCAACTATAGGGACAACAATAAAATCTTGAGGAACCCCTGATAGTACAGAAAATGAACTAGAGTGCTGGCCATCTAATGTAACTTTTATGCTACGATTGGTATGAAAGGATTCAATAGTCTTAAAGATGTTACCTGATACACCATAAGAAGAGAGCATATGGAGAAGACTAGCATGCCAAACTTTATGAAAGACAATGCCGAAAGTAATAGCCTTAAACTCTCAGCATCTATCTAATGCATGATAAAACCTATTAGTTAGTTGTTTAATTTAACATAATCAACAGTTAGTTGTTTAATTTAACAAAATCAACAGTAGAACAAGAAAATGGATCTGTATTGATGATCAGAAAGTAAGTTATTAGATTCAAATTGAGAGATTAATTGTTTGTTAATTAAAGACTTAAAAACCTTGCTTATGATAAAAAGAAGACTTATGGCACAGTTGTTTGACAAGTCAGACTGCTCTTCAGAATTTTTGAAAATAGGGATAACTGATGTGGCTTTCCAGCAGACTGGAAAACAAGGTTCTGTTTAGCACTTGTTAAATAGTTTAGAAAGTATAGAAGACATTTTCAGAGAACACTTCTGCAAAACTATAACAGGTATGTAGTCCAGACCACAAGCTGTAAAAAAGTCTAAGCAGGAAATCACTTTAGATACAAAATCTGGAGTGATGTGAATATCAAACAACGGCTCAACTTGTTTGTTGGCTATATCAGGTAGGATGTGATTAGTGGAATCATGAGATGAAATCGATGAAAAGTTCTTAGCAAACAATTCAGCTTTTTCTTTAGGTGAAGTAACAAAATTTGAAACATGCAAGAGAGGTGGATTAAGAGATTTACCACACAAAAGAGGGGACATCTGGAGTAACAGATTTGCTCTTATTATTGACACTTAAAGATTCTCCAGAAGTCTCTGGAGTCTAATTTTTGAGATAAAATACAAGATTTTATGAGAATAGCAGGCTTTGGCATTAGACAAAACCTTTTTTTTACAATGGTTTCTAGCAATAGTAAACCATGGACTAGAGTGAGGCTTGAATCATTGAGAGGAAAATCATTCCTTCAAAACTAAGTTTTATTTTTTTTTAAGTTTTATTCATGTTTAATTTTAAATCTTTTAACTCAAAAATAAAAGTTGAAATAATTATTTTTTTAAAAATAAAAATTCGGTTGCTGTTAAATGCTTTTTTTTTACTATTTAATATTTCCTGAATAAATACCACATAAATGATATTAAATAATAATTTAGGTATTCTAAAATAAAAAAGTTTTCGCTTAACTTAAAATTCCTGAATGCATAACCTAATGGCCATTTCATTAGAATGGAGGTTTTATAATAAAATTTCCATCATTTACTTAATAACTTTTTAAAGTTATTAAGTTTTAATTATTAAAGTTACACTCTTTAACATTATTTTTTTTTACTCTATTATTTGTAACCATTAATGAAATATTAGTTATTAAAAAGTAGATAAAGAATAATATATTTATAGGCTTGTAAACATATTATTCTTTATTTACTTTGCAATCAAACAGTTAAAATTGCTCGATTTTTTTTTCTAATATCAATTCACTTCCCCACGAAGGCCACTACAGGCTAGGATTTAATTGTGGTTGTTTTACATGATAAAGTGAAGGTTATTTACTATTGATAATTGAAACCCTCTCTCAACTCTATAACTCCAAAACAGGAACCTTGTTGAACAAGACTGTTGCACAGAGAAACAAGTTGAGCGTAGTACTACCAGGGACATGGTGGGGACTGAACTCTGAACCTCTCGCTTATAAAGCAAGCAATCTCTACTACTACACCACTATTGCTTGTCATAGCACATTCTATATTTATTATACAATTGTTCTTTGAATAAAAACTCAGCTTTTAATTTTTGAGTAAAAATTGTTTCAAATAATTTTTTAAATATTTATTTAACTCTAGCATTAAGTTACAAAAAAGAATAAACTGTTTTTTATATTGTACATTTGTACATTTATTTCACAAATAACTTTGTACATTTCACAGATGTATTTAGAAAACACTCATTTATACAATAACTTCCTAATAATTAAAAAAAAAGTATATTGATGCATTTATAATTTGTGGAACAATTAAATTAGATTTTCAAACTCAAATTTGCAAAAAAATACTTTTATAAATCTTAACGATTAACAACAACAATAAAAAATGTTAATGTTTTTATTCTTTATTTACTTAACTTAATTAAAAATATTTTAATAACTTATTTTAATCTATTAACACAAATACTGAGAATAAATTAAGTGCAATTGTGTACCAGGGTTGACAAAAACCCAGGTTTTTGAGCAAAAACTTAACCCAACTGTGTCTTAGGGTGGGTAGGTTTTTGCTAAAGTTTGGTACAAATTTTTAGTTTAACAAAATTTGATTGATTTATAGTTGTTTAAAAGGTATTTTTCATTATGTTTTAAAACTTTAGTTGAGTAGATTATACGTTCTTCAACGTAATAAAGTGATTGGAATGAAGTGACCATATTTAATGATCAACCAAGTAGAGTAATATGTAATTAGTGCAAAGATAATATAATTAAGATGATGTAATTGAGGTGATTTCATTTAGCAATATAAGGCTATCTAAATTTGCAGCATCAAGTAAGTCTACCCAGTCAAAAGATAAGGAGCCAGGTTGTTTAAGCTTTATTAGTGATTATTTTTATTCATCAATTGTTCAGTCAATTGCAATGACGTTGTAATGGTAAACATTTAAATTTGTTACTACAACAACAAGTTATCAATAAACTAGGTTTAAAATTATCAGTTAAAGTTATCAATAAAGATGAACTAGGTTTAAAATTGCAAAGTTATGCAAGTTGCAAAAAGTTGAATGTGATCAAATTTTAGTAGAGATTTTTGTTTAAGTTTACTACTCTTTTAACTTTATTTACTTAGGAAGAACATTGGATAGAAGTCAAGAAGAAGAATGAAGAATTGTTAAATGAAGTCATGCATTTATGCAGCTACTATACATTTAAACTAAAAGATGCTAATTGTTTTCCCATTTATTTATTGAACAATATTGTAAAAAGTACAACATCAGCAACAGAAATATATAGAAATAAAGAAATCTAAGTCTTCCGAACAAAGCCTGCAAACTTTTCAAGATTTTACGACAATTGCACACTTGTTCATAGCTTAATTACAGCGAGTACTTTTTTCTATTGAAAGATTTTTCTCATCCTTTAGCATTATTTAGCATTATTTAGAACAAAACTAGGAATTGTTGAGGAAAAAGCTTGTACAAATTTACAGACAATTTAAATAAAGATGCATAATTTCTGATGATTTGTTAACTCAACATAACTTTGTTTTAAAATTTTAAGTTTGAATATTACAAGTAAAATTAATTCTCATTAATTGCTCACTAAACTCAGACCTCGGTGGGGATAAAGAAGTGCGAGAGGTAAGAAAAGTTCTATTAAAACCAACATGGCAAGCAATCCAAGCTGCTCTTATAAATAGCCTTTCACTATTTTGCGCAAGCTATCTATTTATTCATAAAAGAAATTGCTTATTAAAGACAAAATTCTATTTTATAATTGTTACAAGCATATGCTTGTAACATTAATATTACGAGAATATATATGTAAATATACATTACAATATGTTACAAGAATATATCTTGCGTTGTTTATCACACTGTAAAAAAATTCCTTAGACGAGCGTTTTCTTCAGGTTTTTACCTTTAGTTATTTGATAAAATATTTGACAAAATATTTGACAAAGAGCTATAAAAGTTTTTACTGTTTATAAATTTTTTTTTTATATTTGGAAGTTTAAAAGTTATTACAACAATTACAGAATTCACAACAAAAGTGTTTATATTGTTACAATTACAATTATATTGTTACAATAACAATATTTTTTAGCAAAACATTTTGTGCATTGCATTTTTTTCATCTTTCTCAATTTGAGACAAATTTATAAAATTCATTATAATTAATATATAAAACATATAAATTTTTGTACAATAATTTGTTACATAATAATTATGTGTTATATATATGCAAAAAGAACGGTTAATAAATGCACATTTAAAAAGAATGTTTCAGTTTTTCAAATATATTTCTAAAAATGTTTAATATTAAAATAAAATTAATAATAAAAGCCTCATGCGAGCAAGAGCTCTTGCTTCGCATGAGGCTTTCTAAACTCTATTTTATTACCATTAGAATAATTGTTAAGCATTAATCTTGAGTGTTAATGAAAATTATTTTATAAATGGAAAAATTATTTAAGAAAAAAAAATTTGAGCACAAAAATCCATTAGGTTGGCTCATAGGTTTTTGAGTGGATTTTTGGATACCAATCCTACAGTGCATGCAAATATTCTAGCTGTGTTTATGCCTAATTCTGTCTATTGCTGTCTAGTCCAAAAAGACCAGTAAAAGTTGTTTGCTACTAGTAAGAACTATCAAGAATTATTTAAAAAACAAAATATGTAATAGAGGTATTGAAAATTAGATACAAGTGATAAGTGTATTGTAAACGAGTTTAAAATTAAATAAAAATTAGAAACAAGTTTTGAAAAGATTTTATTTGTATTTTTTGCAAAATACTGGCTAAAGGTTCAAAAGGTAAATTTTGGGTCTTTGTGGTTTTGCTTTGAGGTTTAAAATTTAAAATGACAATCCTAAGATATAAGTAAACTGTAATTGCAAATTAGTGAGTATTTAGTGGTTTTTATTTAAATGAAATAATTTTTAAGTATGTGTGTAAATTTTATGAGTTGCTTGTTCTATTTTATTAAATAAAAAAGTTTTGAGGTTTTTTGCTTTAGATTTTGATAAGCTGGATTTGTTTTTTAATTGCATGATATCTATTTTCATTGATAGGTTAAAGACACTCATGCAACACTTCAGCAAGAAATCATGAAACATGCAATGCAGCTTCAAATGGTATATATACTTAATTAGATAAAAAATATATACTTAATTAGATAAAAACTTATAACTTTCTTTTTGACAACGTTGATAACTTGTATAATTTTTCATTAGGACATAAAAACATACTACATTAAACATAGCGAATTTATTTTTTCGGAAAGTAAGTTCAAAGCAAGTGAAATAGACAAACGTAAAGCTGAAGACCAACCACAAAAAAAAGGAAATGAAAAAAGAATAAAACATTTAGAAAAAAGTGTAGAAAAGGTTAAATAATTTTTTTAAATTTTTTTTATATTAATTCTATATATATATGTATGTGTATATATATATATATATATATATATATATATATATATATATATATATATATATATATATATATATATATATATATATATATATATGTATATCAGGGCTCAAATTAAGCGTATCGCTATCGCGATTCGCGATTACTTTTTGCACCTTCGCGATTAGTTTTATCTTAAAATTTGTTTTTCACTACCTTTTTTTTTTTCGCGATTATTTTTTTATCATTTTAGAAAAATCTAATTTTAGATAATTAATATTAATCACGAATATTTAGCGTTCTTTTACAGTATAAAACTGCAGTGACTTCTGTAACAATAAATTTTTTTAAAAGCTGAGCATAGAGTAAAAGAAAGAAAAATAAAATATTTAGAAAATCAATTAGCAAAAATGTATTAGTAAAAATGGAAAAAAATACCTTTTCGAATCAAGTAATAAAAGATTTTGATTAAAAAAATAAATAAAAGTTAATTGATTGAAAAGTCATTTTCTTAACTCGAATTCTCAAGGGCTTTATTCTGATTTTGCTCATTCATTATGAACAAATTTAATGATATTTTTATAAGTTTAATTTGCGAAGAATTGTGGAAGGCAATACAGACTCTAAACTAGTTATTAAAAAAAAACTCTCTAAAGTTTGTTAGTATACTTGCTAACTTTAAATTAATAGCAATAAATGGATGCAAATAAGGACCACAGACGCAGATTATCTACAGTTAAAAAGTGGGAAAAACTTTTAAATTGCGAGTTAGAATACGATTTAAATGGAGATAAAGTTATAAGATTAAGATGCAGTTTATGTAAAAAATTTGAAAAACGGATAAGTCAAACAAAATTGTTTTCTATGACCTGGATCAAACCAGGAACAATATCAATAAAAAAAGACTCACTGGCAGCGCACTTAAGTAGTGCCCAACATAAAGAGGCCACGCAAATTCATCAACAAACAACATTAGGTTCAGTTTCATTTAACCATGTTATTCATAATACTCCTATCGGGCGTGGTTTTATGTAAAATGGCCGTAAAAGACGCCGACTCGTTACGGAAAAAGTTTAATATTGCATATTACTTGGCAAAACGAGGGCGTCCATTCACAGATTATCCTTATTTGATTGCATTAGAAAAGACTAATGGGGTTACAAATTTAGGAAATTCTTATGGTACTGACCATGCAGCTGCAATTTTTACAGATTACATTGGCACCGTAATTAAAAACAAATTAACTGAATGTTTAAAAAATTGTAGATTTTACTGTGTTCTCTGTGATGGAACCACAGATTCAGCTGTATCGGAACAGGAATTGATTTATATTCTTTATTTAAAAGACGGAAGTCCGAAAGTAGAATTCTTATCTATTGAAACCGCAGAGAATTCTAATGCTGTTGACCTAAAAAAATGTATAACAGACGCTTTTACAAGAGTTGGCATTACCAATTCTTATAAACATCTATTGGGTGTAAATCTTGATGGAGCTAATGTTAATCTAGGAGCTTATGCTGGTTTAGGCGCATTACTAAAGGAAGGTTCTCCTTGGCTGGAAGTTGTACACTGTTTTAACCATCGACTTGAACTTGCTTTAAAAGATGCGTTTGAAAGTTTATCTGCCTTCAAAACTGTTGACGAACTCCTTGTACAACATTATTAATTGTATCAAAAGTCACCAAAGCGCTACCAAGAACTACAAGGATTAGCCGAAGCTTGGGGTAATAGCGTTCCGAAACCAACCAATGCATGCGGAACTCGGTGGATTGATCACAAGTATAAAGCAATGAAAATTGCTTTAGAAAATTATGGTGTGTTTATGACACATATTGAATCATTGGCTATAACAGACTCCCGATAGCAAAGAGAGCAGAGTTAAAAGGTTTCTTAAAGCGATGGAAAAATGCGTCTGTGCCTATTAATTTATCAATATATCTTGATGTTTTATCTCCCCTTCGGCGTTTGAGTTTAAGTTTTCAGAACAATATTCATTATCCAGTAAAAGCTGTAAAAAGAGTCCAAAAATTTACATGGACAATGGCCAAGCTGCAAATTCTTCTAGAAAATTCATTAGACAATTTTCTTGATGATACAAGTGTTATGACCCATTATAAAAGACCGTCTAAAGATATTGAGACAATTGATTCAAAGCAATGTTATCAAAATATTCCACTTTTTCAATATACTGAAGTTAATAGCCATGTTCTTGACCAGTACAAACTAATTATTGCAAATATTACCATATGTATGGAAGGCCGTTTTCAATCTCTCCAAAAATCACCATTGTTTATGCATTTGGTAGCTTTACTTGACGTTTATAACTTGCCGTTAAATGTGAATGACGATACTTTTGGCGATAAAGCTATCGGTGAAGTTGTTGAACATTTTTCTGAATTTTTAATTGGTGTAGGATGTGATTTGAATAATATACTTCATGAGTGGATCATTTTAAAAGCATACATGTTTCCCATCATAAGTAACAATCAAAATGAGTATTATTTGAAAATTTGGGAAATTGTTTTTTCCAAATCAAGTTTGGTCAAAGAATGCCGAAATCGGTGAAGTTGTTGAGCATTTTTCTGAATTTTTAATTGGTGTAGGATGTGATTTGAATAATATACTTCATGAGTGGATCATTTTAAAAGCATACATGTTTCCCATCATAAGTAACAATCAAAATGAGTATTATTTGAAAATTTGGGAAATTGTTTTTTCCAAATCAAGTTTGGTCAAAGGATGCCGAAATATTCTTGATATTTTTGAACTATTTTTAATTTGTCCTTTTACAAATGCGAAGGTAGAACGAATGTTTTCATGTATGAATCGCGTAAAAAATGACTGGAGAAGTTGTCTTAGACGAGATCGTTTAGAATCTCTACTTCGGATAAGCGAAGAAGGTCCTGAGATTGACAAATTTGAACTTGATACTGCTATGGACGAATGGTATAATGATAAAGTTAGACGATTGTCAGGAAATTTTCATCGTTATCCGGAAAAAAGAAAAAGAAAGTCAGGAAAAACAGACATTGATCTAGCGACTGTTACAATATCAGATTTGGAAGAAAGTGAGAGCGAGGAAGAATATTGTGACAACTTTTAATTTTATTTTAGCGCATTGTAACTCCTTAAAATTAAAATATCAAGTAACAACTTTAAATAGCGTATGATTTTTAGCTTCGTAAAAATACTTTTATGTTAGTAAAAATCCTGAAAAGTTCTAAGCATTAAACCAGTGAAATTATTACAAAGCGATAAAAATATTTATGATCTAATACTTTTTCTATTAACAATCAAAAAAAGTATTAGATCATAAAAGATTTTATTATTTAGACACATTTTTTTCTTTCGCTTTATTTTATTGAATAAAAAAAGTGAACGCTAACTTTTATTAAAAAATGCATTGAATGAAAAAGCAATATATAAAACTATCATCGGAATTTGATAAGAATACTTAGATAAGAAAACTGACTTAATAAGAATTTAATTATCATTCTTGTTTGTTGTGCAGGTTTTCGTCAAAATGTTAAGTTTTAACATTTTATCACAATAATGTTTTTGTCATTTTTAATAGTTTTTTATAACTGTTTCGAAATTAGAGTTTTAATTTTTTTTTACTGTTAAAAATTTATAGAAAATTAAATATTCTAGTTGTTTTAAACAGTTTAAAATATGTAAATAAACAGAGTGGCCAGCGGTCCTTGAAATCCTTGAAATCCTGGAAAAGTCCTGGAATTTTATAGATCCTGAAAAAGTCCTGGAAAAACACCCCTTTTTACAAAAAATCCTGGAAATCCTGGAACTTTTTTTTATAGAGTTCAATATTCCGTTTTCTTGTTTTCATCTTTTACAAAACTTTTCGTTTAATTATGTATTTTCTGGTATGATGAAAATATTTTTATTAATTTTACTATCTGTATAATTAATTCTACTAAATATTTAGAAAATAGAATATACAAATAATATATATAACAATTAATATATAATATAACTAACATAACGCCCAAGTCAAAGAACTGTCGTTTCCAAACAGAATGGCTTTACAATAAAAAGTATTCTTCTTGGGTAAAATTATGTTTTTCAAAGAAAGCAAGATGTAATTTGTGTCAAAAAATATATATATATTATATATATATATATATATATATATATATATATATATATATATATATATATATATATATATATATATATATATACATATATATATATATATATATATATATATATATTAAATATATATATATATATATATATATATTATATATATATATATATATATATATATATTATATATATATGTATATACATATATATATATATATATATATATATATATATATATATATATATATATATATATATATATATATATATATATATATATATATATATATATATATATATATATATATATATATATATATATATATATATATATTAAAAAAAAGTGATTATTCATAAGATTCTATGAATAATCACTTAAAAGTGATTATTCATAGAATCTTATGATAATTTTTTTGGTTTGGCAAACCACACAATCCAAGAGCAAAATTTTTGAATTTGTAGCATCAGCAGAGAGGAACATAAATAGCTTCTTGACATATGGCCAAGGGTTTTGCTTTTCTTCACCAGGGCTATTCATTTTGAAACATATTCTATTTGCAGAATAAAAGATCATATGCAAGAATTCACGAAATTTTGTTACAGTTTAAACTGTATGGAAAATAAGAACTTGAATGCGAGCTGTTTATTTGACCGGCTAACACAATGAATTGACGGTCAATCGTTTATTTTTGACAATCATTTTTTTTTTTCATTGTTTCAAGTTTTTTCTTAGCAATAGTTTTTCATTAATGAACTTTATAAATACAAAAACAACTTATTGCTTTGAAATTAACAAATTCATAATTCGTTTTTTAATTGATAATTATAAATAAAATCAAGTAATTTTTTTTAAAATATCAAAACAATTTTT